GTTGTCAACAATATTTGAAATGCTTTTGGAGGCTTAGGGATCCTAAGACTGTATGCAGTCGAATATTTAGGTCTGGGTTTAAACATCATTAAGTGGGAGCTAATGAGAGGATCGAAACGTGCATATTTGAATCTTAAAAGAAGAGATTCGGGACCTCTAGGGTTTTTAATCTTGGGACCAAACCCGCAATTCAATACATTTTAATTGAGATTGAAAACTCTAGGGAGCTTGTAGACTTCCCTGGGCTTGGTTTCTAGGGCTACACGAGGAACTTTTTTTAAGGTCTACCTTTTTAAGGTTTGAGCAAACTGCTGAGAAATTTAAAATTATTTGTTGAATATTGCACGGAAAAAGTTGAGTCAGCTCGAGTCTTTGAGAATCAAAAACAATTCATTTAAAAAACAAAAATGCATACTGAACTGACTGAATTTGAAAACTATATTAATTCCTCAAACATTAAACATTCAACACTGAAACATTTACCAACAAACATCACATGCATCATCTCCTTTATTTGCAACCCTATTTATATTCTTAAAATGTTGCTCTTTAACAATCTCATTCTAAACATTTATTTTCGGATATAAATTCTCATTAAATTCAAGAAAAGAGTCAACTTGATCTCAAACGATTCTATAAATAATGAATTTTTCCCTAGACAATCTCTCTTATTTGAACTGAGGTTTTTTTCATCAAAAAAAAAATTAATTCAAGAAAAAAATTGGAACAACATTGACAAAAAAAAAATGTTTTTTGATGTAATAATTTATTTCCATGACAAAAAGCTAAAGTAAAAAAGAAGCCTATCCGCTCATAGAATCAGAATTTTCACATCAATCATTTTCACTTTAGGTGATGAGATGCTTTAATTAAATATAAAAAAAAAAAATTCGTGTAGGAGAAGAAAGGAAAAAAAGGAAAAGAATTACTAAATAAATTTATTTGTATATACAGCATGGAAACACACAAAAAAAAATGGAAGGAGTTGAAAAAAAAGGATTCAATGTAAATTTGTTATAATCAACGATGTAAACATTTTCATACTTGTATATAACGCACGAGAAAGAGGCATAGAGAATGGAAGTGTGAAGAGGAGGGAAGATTAAAAATGAAATAAGGATCAAGATGAAAAGCTAATTTTGAAATGTTATAGCATCAATCAGCAAGACGCTGTTGAGATCTCAACATAATGAAAGTTATACATCAACTCGACACATTCTCTCCTTTTTCAAGCATTTTCTCGTCTATGTGGAAAATTCATTCAATTTTTTTCTGCTGCAAAATATCTAACAGATATCTAATTTAATTGTGCACGCCCACAGATGAAGAAAAAAAAATATTGTGGAATGATTGAAAGAATGAATAAAAAAAAGTTTCAAATTTTGATTTGAGACGAAAAATATTGACTTTTTCACTTCAGCAGAGTGAAGAGAACGAGCAGAGAAAAAAATAAACTTTTCAATCAGCATTTTGAAAAAATAAGGAAAATAAATGAGTAATGTTAGTGGAAAGAGTTTCTTGTATTTAAGGCTTTGCAACGCATTTGTTTCGCAAAATTGAATGATTTGCAGAATTGTTTGGAAAATTATTATAGGCTAGTTATCTTTAAGATTTAAGTTGGGGATTATTCAAGTGGAAATTCGGAAAAATAATGATAAAATTTGGTGCTCATTGATAAGTGACATCGATCAAGAAACAAGATTTGGATTTTCTTCTTCATACTTTGTCACTTAATTTTCATATTTTTCTGTAAGAGTGTCAAGCAGCTTTAGATCCCAAGAAAATAAGTTGAACATATCCGAACGGCACAAGTCGAATAATCGATCGGAAATGCAGCACTAGGTCAGTGTTACTTTGGCATGGTGATAGATTCAAATCAAAACCAGCACAGTCATGCCAGCTTGGCGCAGGATTTCTATTCGATTAATCGACTTGTGCTATTCGGGATACTTTATTAATAACTGATTTGCGACAGCTCAATGAAAACTAGGTTTATTGAAGACGTTAGGTGTGCAAAAGATCAATTCCAAAGCTCCAAAGTTCAGGATCCAATAGGCCAGTTCTAGTTTTTCTTGAGACAAATCCTAACATCCGTCAATTTTCGATGTATATTCCAGAATAGAGTTCCAGCATATCTAAAAGGTATCATAAAAGCCATCCTAAATTACTGTAAACCAGTCATGAAAGATGATATTAATTAAATTTTTATTTTAAAAAATACACCCAGCAAGTCCTTAAAAAATTCAAAATCATTTCCTCTTTTCTAAAAAAAATTCCTCATTCTGATGCTCCAAACAAAATAGACGAAGTAATGAAACAAGCTCCAATTTCAAACACCAGCTTAAAAAATTCCATGATGAAATTTTTGCAGCACAATCTTCAATTCTCTTGTGATGCTTGAATAAATTTCACTTTACAGTCAGTCATTTTTCATTTTGCTTTCCAGTTTTGTTTTCATAGAAAGCCTTGCATCATTTTAATATGAAAGCTTTCTCCTGCCGCTGCTTCAATTTTGTGGTATGCATGACTGACAAGATATCTTTCAATTGTTGCAGATACTATTCCTTAATTAAATCCAATTTAAATTTCAAAGCTCCCATGACTGGGGATTGATGGGCAATGAATATTTTCTGTAAATACTCACATCAACTTATTGACAGACTTAATGAAATTTGAATTCTTGATTTAATTATCTCATAAATTTAATGCCCTTCATTTTTTATCTTCAATATTTCATAACTACACTTGAGCACCAAAAATGATGACGCCACAAAAGCTTAACTCATGTGGGAAAAATTCTCATGAACATGTGCTGTATAATTCACTTTATCTGTTCATTTATTTTTATCATGTGAGTGAAACGTGGAAGCTGTTTTTCAACTTCTCAAGTTTATTTTTTTTTTTTTGAAATTATTGAATCGCAATTGAGAAGGAAAAAGATTTTTTTCTTGAGAATTTGTAATCTATGACATGGTAGAGTTGGCAAAAATTGTTTGTGAATTTCTATAAATAGCATAAAAAAATTATTAATATCACTGCACGAGTGGAAGCAGTCATTGGTTTCAGATTAATGTTATTGAAAATATTCGATCGTTTTTTTTGTGCATTTCTAATGCTTTATTCGGATAATTTTTGTTGCAAAATCAATCAATAAGAACAAAAACTTATTGAGCCGTCTTATTTTGGAGTTAATTTAAAAATATTCAACAAAAGAAATTTTCAGTCCCTGAAATAGAATGAAAAATTTCTATATTTTTCTAATTGTGTATTTTGCTGGAAAGCTCACAATGCAGACAAAGTTTTCACTTTGAAAACATTCATGATACTGAGTTCAATTAAGATCTGAATGTGTTGGTTTAATAATTTGAATTTTGTGGTTTCAAAACATGAGGGGGGGGGGTCTTTTTTTCTCAAAAACCCAAAGTAAATTAAAGAATATTTTCCAAAAATCAGGGGATTGATACAAAAATAAACCTCTTGCTTTCTCTTTGGTTTTAAAATCTGCCTGTAAAGCAAATGTAATAAAATAAATTATAAATTATTAGCCATATATACAAATCGTCCATCAAAATGGGGTTTTTTGTAAAACTAAGGTCAGATTTTCACTCAACTGTAGACTTATTTCTAGCACTTTACTCCAAATTCCCCATTATATTACACCATTTTTAACAGAGTGATTGAGTCTGCTCTTTACTTGCTCCTGTCAATAAGTACAAACAGTGTTTTTAAAAATGTTAACCGTGGTACATTGTTGTGCTGTTAAAACTTCACAGTTGCTAGATTTCATTAAGTTTGAAGTATTTTTGAAGCAAAAACTGAGGAATTTTAACATCCAAAAAAATAAAAATGAAACCACACCTTCTCCCATTTTCCACAAAAACTCAACACATTCCAATAAATTTTGCATCAAACATTTTGAACTTTAGTCCAACAAAAGAATTTAATCAATCATCCGAGAGGAAAAAAAATGTTCCACAGAGAAATCTTCAACCTTTCTATCAAAACAACCTCCATCCAGTAACATCAATTAGCAGACGATAAAATGCGCTCAGATCATTCATCACTCGAAATACCTTATGCGACAAAAAGTTCCATTTCCATTGTTTTTGCTTATCTACCCAAAAATTATAGAATTTAGATTTCCCAATGATATATATTATTTGTGTTAAATGTGTTGACCATTTAGTAAGTTTAAAAGTCACTATGATTCATGACAATAGCTATTATAAAAGTGGAAGAAAGAGACATGATATGAAAACGAAGAATAAAAAAAAAGTTGAGATAAAATTATACTTTTTTTTCTTGTGCTGAAAAGAACAAAGCGAGCATCAGTAAAGTGGGGCTGCATACAACAAGGAGTAGCAAAGCAACAAAAAAAAAATCTCTAAACAAACATGAAGAAACAATTAATCAAAATGTGAATAACGAAAATGTTGAAAAGTGCTGCGTGTGTGGATGTATAACAACATATATGTTATGTGCTAGATAATGGATTGGGGTGTGAATGAGAAAACAAGATAGTCAAGTGAAAAAAGATAGAGAAAAAGAGCTCGGGGTAATTTTGGGGATGAAAGAAAATTTGTACAATAGAAGTATCATAAAATGAAGCTATAAAATATTATTTAAGTGTTGAACGTGCAAAGGGAAAATAAAAAAAAAGAGATTTTTCTATTCCATCCCTTTCGTTTTGAAAAATCATCCATAGCAAATGCAAAAGAATAGGAACTTTGTTTAAACTCACATGCGGAAATTGCAATCTGTAGAGCACAAAAACGATAAAGAAAATTGAGAGAAAAAGTTTGCAAAATAATTTCTTTTTTATTTCCATTTTGTAAGCCAAAAAATCCTTTTTGATAATTTTACTTTGCATACATTGGGTAGATTGTGTGAGATAGACAAAAACTTTTTAATAACTTGCTTAATTCTCAAATGATAGTATTAAAAAGGATATCTTATTTCTAGATTTATGTGATGAGTCTTTAAATTTCTGCATAAATATGCTGAGCAATTTTATATGCACTTCATGAATAATCTTGGATTTCCATGACGATTAAGTATTTTGAACATTTTATAAGCTTTGTGTTATTTTGGATATTTCAATTTATTAACTTGTGATTTATTTTTAAAATGCAGACAATATTGTTGCCTCAGGTTAGCTGGGATGAGTGTTTTATGGATTTTTATACAATTTTCTCTTGAGAAGTAAAGCTTCTTGATTTTTGCTCACTTCCCCAAACCTGGTCCAACTCAAATTGAGAACGTCAAGAATTATTTTCACTAGTTTGAGTATAAGAGCAATTTTGAGGTATAAGATTATTGTGAGCTAAGCTTTTAGGAACTGATCAACGGGTCAGGAAAATTAGATGGTTTGCATACTGCTCAATCGTTTAGATGGTATCATAAATATTTTTAAATGAAGAATTTTCATAAATTTCGCCTTCACTTTTCCTTTTAAAGAAATTCGACATTGCACATTCGATTTTTCCTTGATGTCCAAGAAATACAAAGTTGACAAACTTCTCAAATTGATTTTTGCTTTCAAAGCTGAAAGACTTTTTGTCATTGTTAGAATAATTCAATAAAACATCTTGTAGCCTTTCTTGATCCGTATGAAAAATTTCACCCATAAATTCTTGGAACTCTTCATACAATTCGTTAGTCATGTTCTCAATAATTTCTGGAATTATATCCTTGGTGTTAACTAGAATGTCTTGAATCTCTTTCCATGTATTCTTATACTTCGTATACAATCTTCTGTAGATTCGGAATGTCGCAACATTTTTTGATTTTAATGAAACAACCAATGGATGAAAAGTGTACTGGAACAGCCCAAACAAAATTCTTCTTATTGTTTTCATATCATTGTTCAGCAATGCTTCAACACTCTGTCCAGCACATATCAGCACATACAAATTACTCGAATGTTTAAGGAATTTTATAATTATCTCGGCTAAACCTTCAGTATTGTCAAAGATTTCATATCCTTTCTTTAAAATCAACTTAAATACTTCCTCTTTAACCATTGGAACAATTTTAAAAGATGAAATATATTCCTTATAAACTAATTGCTTCTCTTCCTTCTCAAAATTCTTATCAACCACATCAAGAAATTTAACTAAATTTCGATTAAATCCTTTAAACTTTTGACATTCATATGCTTCAATATTTCCAATGTCGCTATCATTTATTATTGGCATTCGACTTTTATTGAAGATTTTATGCCAATTAGGTCCAAAAACTTTACTGATTACATCCAAAAGCTCTTTAAAATCCAATCGTCGTTTTCTATCGTCTTTGAAGAGAAGCTTTACAAGGCAATTTCGTTTCTTGCCCACATGCCACAACAACTTTAAAAGTTCTGGTTCGTTTTTAAGAAAAATCGACCAATTTTCTAACAGAATCAATGACCCATTGCCATACACAAAGTTGAGTATTTCATTATGAATTTTAAAAATGTTTTTCAATATTTCCGTCCTCATCTCATCGTGGAGTGGTACTTTGCGAGAGTTTAGGTTATCGAATACGAAACTAAAGATAAAGCATCGAGTCATTTCAAAGTCTTGAACTTCTGCTAAAACTAATTTAAAAATTTTCAAGAATTTTTCATTCTCTTCGACCTCATATTCGATGTTGGGATTGCGACGAAACATGAATGTTACAATAAATTCAGCTATGAAAAATTCAGCATAAGTTCTTCGTGCAAAGTCCATTGAATTTATTTTCCCTTTTGGATCATCGAGGTTAATAGTCAACAGTCCATAACGATGGATTTTCTCAAATGTCCATTTATACTTTTCAGCTTCCCACTGCTTTAAAATTGAAAGCTCATCAAGACCTATTCTGTATAATTTATCATACGAGTCACCGATGAGTAATTTCAGTGCAAACACTTGATGAACATTTGTCAATGTGAAATTTTCATTGGAATCGCATATTTGTGACTTTGAAATCGCATCAACTTTTTTAATCTGGCTGTTGATGAATTTCTCGAACGTTCCATAAAGTGTGAATGATTCAGACCAAAAAAACACTTTGTCATCTATATAGAGTTCTACGACTGCCTCGAGTAAGAATAAACTGTCGAAAATTTTACAGCAATCATCACGATTCTCGGAATTACGGAGAATCTTTTCAAAATCTTCAATGATTTTAGCTCGAAAATTATCGTTGACGATTCTCATTTTATTGAGGACTTCATTGATGTACACCTTCTTCTGCTCCCATGTTAAAGGCACAAGTTTGTAAACTGGACAATTTAATATTTCTCCAAGTCGTTTTCCGTAAATTGGACGGCATGATATCCACAATTGATTTTCTGATGACATTTTAAGGACGTAGACAATTTTTAAAGCAAATTGAAAGAATTTTGCATCAACTTCGTCGATCTCATCAAAAAATAGAATGACTCTATTGGTGAATAATAATTTTGTAAATAATTCAATTTCCAATTCAGATTTTATTTTTAAAATGTCAATTAATAAATTTCGAATTTCCTCAATTGTTGGATCTCGTAATAATTTACAATATTCTTGCATTATTTCATTATGTTTTTTTAATCTTATATATCCTATCCAATATGTTGGGTAAACAACCTTTAATCTTTTAAAAATATTCTCAATAATTACTGTCCTTCCTGTGCCTGCAGCATCAGCAAGTATAAGTCGTCTACTTGATTCTAATTCCACTTGAACTTGTAAAAATGTCTTTATATTGTCCTCATCACCATCAAATTTGGATTCGATGAATTTCCTTTCCATAAATTTAAATTTTGACGAATTTCTGCAAATTTGTCCAATTATTAATTTTCTATCCTCAGATAAAATTGTTTGGATTTCTTTTGGTGTCAGGAGATTGAGGATAAAGAGATCTTGTTTAGTAACATCATTTAAAGTTATTTCAACGCCTTGAAAAACTATAGTTGTGTTTAAAATTTTTGTTTTTATTAATTCTGGAAGATCCTCAAATTTTGCATCCGGATCTGGATTTCGTGGTGACTTTGACCTTGATGTGAAGCTATCTTGTACAGTGAGATTTTCAAAAGTTACCTGAACTTTCGAAAAATCCTCAATTTTTGCATCTGGATTTCGTGGTGATCTTGATCTCGATCTGATGGAATTCTGTACATTGAGTGTATCAGAAGTTCCTGGAACTGCTGAAAAATCTTCAACTATAATATTTGGATCTAAATGTCTTGGCGATTTCGATCTGGCTTTGAAGTCCTGTACATTAATATTTTCATAAGTTGCTTTCGACATTTTGTTGCTGTTTGCTGTAATTAGTCAGCATGTGAAATTAATCGAGAAAATAGATTTGAATTTAAATCATTTTATGTCAGAAATGTAGCAATAAGTCAGTTTTTCATTATAAAGTCTGCACTTTCCTGCTTAGGGAATGTCTTAGACTGTGCTCTAACGACGACCAAACCTAGAGTATGGTTTAAGCATAATCCTAATCTGACTCAGCATACAAAAAGGTGAATAAAGTAATGATCCTCAGATTTGGGGTATGATTGGAAAGTCATTATTTTTCAAAGTTTCAAAGCAAACTTACTTGATTAAACTTTCACGACTGTCTTAAGCAACACTTCAAATAATACTAAATATTTAAATTTATTTCATACATACTTCATCAGCTTGGATGATGTCTCATCAAAATGTGTAAAAATATTGAGATAAAAGGATGAATAATTCTAATTACATGATTATTAGACATTATAACTTTCTATATACTGACTGAAACATTAAAGATAACGCCACTTACTACAGACTTCTATAATAATGATGATGATGATGTCCATTACTACGTCATCTTGTACAATTTCATCATAATACGTTCATATTATCTCCTAATTTCAGTGCTACACATGCTGTAGATAAATACATTCTCATATCTTTTCATAAAAAAAAAGAAGTATGAATGTAAAATTAGCAAAAAGACTTTATGCTTCTTTCCACTTCATATAAACTCATATATACGGAAATTGCAATCTGTATAGCACAAAAACGATAAAGAAAATTGAGAGAAAAAGTTTGAAAAATATTTTTTTTTTCATTTCCATTCTGTAAGCCAAAAAATTCTTCTTGATAATTTTACTTTGCATTGCATCTGAAAATAATGCACATTGGGAAGATTGTGTGGGATAGGCAAAAACTTTTTAATAACTTGCTTAATTCTCAAATGATAGGATTAAAAAAAGATTTCTCGTTCGTGATATTTGAACTAATTGAACAGGAATAAGAGGGATTGTTTAATTTTTTTGTAGTAATTTGATGTCATTATTTTAAGCGCATTTTAACTTTTTAATGAGTTACTAGGGCTTTTTTTAAATATGATTATTCAAGATTATTCAACGACTATCATATGGATGCATCCAAAATTATTCTGAACTGTCTGGTGTCTCAAATTGTACTTGAAATTTTGCTTTGAAATGACTTTCTGATTCATACATCATCAATAGCCATTTTAACTTTTGAAAGGAACACTTTGTATTAGAATTGTATGGTAATTTACAAATAGTAAGCAGCAATAGGGAAATTTGTGAGTGACGATGTTCTGTAACGCTGAAAATGTAAGAAGCAGAGGCAAAACCAGTGAGATTTGTGGTAAAAACCTTACCGAGCTACTCGAACTTCACGTGCCAAAGGTTTTGGGTTCAATTTCAGGCCAAGCCAAGTTTGAGAAGCTATTTTTTTACCGTTCTAGTTACGAAAAACGGTTCGTGTGTACGGTGAAGGTTAAAGGTCTTCGGCAAATACCGTGTCTCCTATGCTAGGTGTACTAGGATATACCAGCATATGTATGTTTCAATCCAGCATCTTGTAGGTCTAAAGGGTATGGTACAATAGATTCTGTTCTGATTTGAATCGCAGTGCCTCCAGCTTAAAAAAGGCTGCGCTCTAATCGACAATTCTTTGCTGCACCACTTGGACCAACCTTTGTCTCAGCACTTAAAATAAGTCCATAAAATTGATACGAATAAAAAGAAACCCCCGCTAAAAGGAAATTATAGAAGAAATTTATTGCATAAAGGATTGCGAGGAGCAGCATGAACAAATTTTTTCATGAATTTCAGAATCTAAATTTTGTAACTATGTATATGTGTTTCTAGCAGCGATGCAGGAAAGTAGCTCTCATTGAGATAGTAAAAAAAAACTAAAAAGAAATCTTTAAAGCTTTTCTTCTATATTCTTTCAACTATAAACAGTCATGGTATGCACAATAACTTCCGTTTTTACATGAAAATGTATTCATCGCTATTGTTATAGTAAGTTGTAAAAAAAAATTCATGCATCGCATGATGCTTTTTAAATATAAATTTTACGTTGAAAAAATTATAAAAAATGCATCTCTTGCGAATTGCACCGCACAAAGTTTCCATTGGATGCTTTATTCATATTTATTTATTATATGAGTGGTATACGTTATGTATTTATGGCTATATGATGATTAATGTGCATTTATATTTATGCATGTTTGTTCTTTTGCTACATATGAACACTAAAAATACAACATATAACATAAGAGTGGAATAATTTATACACATATATATTTTTTTCATGCCGTCGTGGAATTGAAATGTTACGGATGAGCTTGATATGGGAGAATGAATTGAGAACAGACAAAAAAGAATGCTTACAAAATTTGCTTTAGACATTCTTCATGTGTGGAAATGATTATATAATTGCAAATCTAAATTTTCCACATTTGTTTATCATGTGCTTAACAGATGCGGTTTTTTTTTTTGAAAAGTTGCGGATCATTTTGCAGACCTAAATGATGAAAATTCAATGAAATTATTCTTACATTTCAGAAATTGCCTTGAGGGAAAATGTCGAAAATAAATTCTGATAAAAATATTTCGGATTTTAATTTAATTGAATAAACCACTGAACATCAATGTGTAATTTTGAAAATCCTGTTGATGAAGGCTGCAGGATATTCAAAAGTTTAAGTTTATCAAGAAATAATTATTTGAACCATCATCAAAATTGTAAGACATTGCAGACATCTTGAGGGTGTCTTACTTCGGAGCAGATACTGATGGTCTAGACCAGTAATGGCCAACCAATGTACCGCGGCACACTATAATAAATTCTGGAAATCTCACGAACCATATGACATGTACAGTTTTGGTCATTGCTTACCATCAAGGTGTGCCGTTGCACAGAAATTGTTGGGCACCACTGGTCTAGACTAGCTAAAATGTAATGAAAACTTAGGGATTTAGACTCTTTCAGGGATGAGTGCATAGGGTGCTTTAAGCTACAATCTTATAAATTTCGTCAGCATCAACTTTGATCCATTCAGGTTAGAAAAATGAAAAATTTCATTAATTCTGTATAAACTCAAGTATTGATAACGCCTGCCTCATCACAAAACAGAATATTTTCAATATTTCATCAAAATCTGTCATTTTAAATATTCAATTCAGCAAAGCTAATAAATTGTTGAGCTAAGATGTTTAAAAATCAATGACTTGTCACTTTAAGAAGCTGATAGCTTGCCCTTTTGTTTTTGATGTGCAGGCACAAAAGAAGACGCTTGTCAAAAAATATATCTCAAACAGCCTTTTCCATGAAATAAAAGAGATGAAAGAGTTAAAAATATAAAATGAAGACTTTGAGCTCCTCTGTCAAACAAAAAGAAAATGTATCAAATCTAGCGAGAAAAAATTAAGCACACAAAATTTACATAATTCAAAGAGAAATTATCAAAGATATCTATCAGCACAGTGCCTTACTATAGTAATTATGAGTCAAGAATGAAAAGGTATAAAGAATATTCAAGAAAAAGGCACGAAAAATAAAAATTTCATCATGATTAAGAAGAAAGTTGGAAGATGAAGAAGGGCGGCTTTTGTTGTTGGCATTTTTGCCATGAGAAGCAAAAAAGGAGAAGCTTTTTTTCAACTCACTTGCCTTGAGGTGCCCTTTTCATCTTATGCTTAGTAAAGCGTAGTCTTAACTGTAGTCAGGATAGTCCAAGAGGATAGTTTCTGAATGGGGGGGTCTCAAAAATATGTACCAAGTTTCAGGGGCCTTGAGATTCTTGCTATGCTCCTGATTAAAGTTTGCCTTAGCTATTTAAATTTGTAAAAATTCAAACTCATAGATTAGAGCGTCTTCCACAATATTTCTAGTTGCACCCCTGTCGTAGGACAAGCACTCTATCCTTCTATTCCTATTACTTCTTCTTATTCTTCTCTTGTTCGTGTCGAAAATAAATGAAATTATTAATTTCATATTTCAGACATTCTCATTCTTATCACATTCATGGAGAGATATGAGATGAGATGGAACAAGGCAGCAAAAGAAGTAAAAAAATTCCTCTCAGATCCATTTGGCAATTAAAAAAAAATTCATAACAGCACTTGAATGAACTACGAACTGCGCTTAATAGTCAACCTCCGACAAAAATTAATCGAGAGGAACCATTGCACATACTAAAAGGGAGCGGAAGTGAAAGATGGAATAATAATAATAATACAAATAAAATATTAATATATATTTCCACCGCAGTAAATAACGAACGCAAATTAATTGGATTGATGATAAATGAGGCCGTTTTTGGTTCGGGTTAGGGTTTTTCCGCTTTATGTTCACAGCTCTTTTTCTGCGGTTTTAATTTTTTAAATGTCATTGAGTGCGTATAAATTTTATTCTTTTCAGTTATTTTCATTTATTGTTCCTTTCTCCCTTTCTTCGATGTTAAATAATTTTTAAACAAAATTTTCATGATGGATTTTCGTGGGTCTGTTGATTTTAACACTTTGGGATTGATTGTGATTTTTATGGAATGAGATTAAACTTAACCCAACTTAACTTAGACATACTAAAGAACTTAAACCTTATACTTAAGCTGTTACTTTGCATACAATTAAAATTCAATTCCAAACCAGCTCCAAATTCGAAAAAAAAAAATCAAAAGTCGCTATAGCTTAAAAGCTCATATCCCAAAAGTACATTCCCTACCATTCTGTATCCCATTTATAAAATTGATGGTGGAAAGAACAGAAAAGAGAAACAAACAGATTGAAATATATTATTTGGAGCAAGTGACTCACTAAACAACTGATTTTCCTTCCCATTCAGATGAGTTGAACGTAAATGAGCAATTATTAATTAAAGGAAGCTCTTCAAATGAGAGCTAGCGAGATTCAAATGTGAATGACAGAACGTAAAATTTTCTATTTATAATGATTGTATTTAATAACCAATAAACTTTAATTAAAATGGTAATTTCATGCAAATCATTT